CCTAGAAAGCAACCAACTCCTTTGTAACAGGACAGTTTGGTCTCTCAAGGTCCTGGATGTACTCGCAGTTTAGACCAGTGAGGTATTCAAACTCGAGCAGTGAAAACCTCAAAGGCTGTGGACCAGCAAGACTCCACAAGCTCATACTTCTTCTTTATGTCGAGCTGGAAAAAGAGTATGTAGTGAACCAGCCTTGAAGCCCATTCAAAATCCAGCTCTTGGAACTTGATGAAAACTCCCAACTTAGACTCCTTCAGCTCTTCATATTCTTCATCCTTAAGAGCATTCCTTAGGGCAGTATACAACTTCGTACACGGATGATACGTAATGCTATGCTGATCGCTATGCTGCAAAAAAATCAAAGAAAACCATCTCAAACACACAACCATCCAGTATAACATTTTAATTATAAGTCTACCAAGATTTCCATTAGAACATTTGAAAGCTGACCTGAAAATTCGGAGAAGATGTACTCGCCTTCGACATAGCGGTTATAGAACTGCAAAAATAGACTTGAAAAAAGAAGCGCGATGAGAACGACGGTAACCGTAAAATATCCCCAATCTTTGAAACCCTAATTTGAAATGAAAATATCCACAACATCCAACCTAACTAAACAACAAGTCGATTGAAATCCCCAATTTTTGAAACACTAATTTGAAACCAAAATTTCCCAAAATCATTGAAAACGCAAAACCAAACGGTAAAAGTAAAGGAAAACAACATCCATCCTAATAAAAACCCATCAAATCGGCAAGAGAAGCCTTCGATTTACCTTGGTCTTGTATCGGATCGAAATCGCCTCGAAATCACCTTTGAGAGAAACGGCGTTAGGGTTTTCTGAATTTCGCGAAAAGTGCGTAAAAAAAAAATCTTCTTATATATGTCCGGTAAAAAATCCGGTTAGGTTTAAAAGTAATTCGGTAAAATCCGGTTTGGACGACTTATAATTAAGTCGTCTATTGATATTATACATCCAACTAAGTCGTCTGCCTTATTAAATATATTTACCAGACGACTTAGATATAAGTCGTCCGGACCCTAAACCCTAAAATCTAAACTAAATTGACTAAATTAACTAACTAACCACGTTATAAAATCAAATTATACTTAAATAGAGTCTACTATATATATAGAAATAAACACACTTAGGTAAATTTTTAATTTTTCAAAAAAACNGCTTTCGAAAATCTGACCCTAAGAAACACATACAATACTACAACATATGTTGGCAAACCCAAAACCAAAGAATATCATCACTCACTACTTTCACTCATCTATGTTAAAAATAATTAAATTTTGTTCTATCTTAATTTATATCTCTTAAAAGTGGTGTTAATTACATGATTTCAATTTTTCACTTATCTAAATATTTTTTACAAATTTTTTAAATTATGTTTAAGAATAACTATACCATACGACTTTCAACTAAGTCGTCTGGACGACTTAGTTGAAAGTCGTCTGAATAGAATACTTACGAGGTTAGACTACAAATAATTAAGTCGTCTGAAAAATCTTCTGGCTGGATGACTTTCCAGAAGACTTAAAATAGTAGTCATCTACTAAGTCGTCCAGGCTTTTTGAGTATGTTTTAAGAATTTGTGTTAGAATTTGTGTTAGACTTCTTAGACGACTAATAATTAAAATTGGTGTTACCATGGTTTGTACATAGAGGACAAAAGGAGTTGTAGTTATAAAAGTTGATCATCCATTACAAGTCATAGGTTTAAAAAAAATTTGAAACAAGGGAACAACATAGGAGTCATCCATTACAAGTCCACTAGAACCATATTACAATAAGACGATAGCAAGACAAACATCCATCATTTAGGAAGAGACGAGGAAGTTGAGGCACCATCCGCAGCATCATCCCCTTGATGAGGTGTATACTGAATCTCAGTAAAACTAGGACCAAAATGAGTCACATGAAATACCATGTCTCCTTCCTTTTTGAACACGAGAATGTCACTGATGCAAAGGGAGTGTGCTTGGGCGAAGGCTTCCTAACCATCAGTGAGTCTTCTTCCTTCTTGTATAACTTCCCAAGTTTGGTGTGAAGCGTCCAATCGTAGTGTCCATTTTCCTTGGTTCGGCGTGCCTTCTATGTGTTTTGCGTAGAAGGCAAGTGGTATTGTCTACAAGTCAACAAAGGAGAAGATAAGCAAAGGAAATAAACAGAGGAGAAATAGAGAGCGTGTGTATACCACGCCACTGTAGAAACCAGGAAGCAGAGGCTTCAAGAAGTGAGGTTCATGCTGATTCGTCATCTGCAAACAAGAAACGAATTGGAAACATTTTAATTCTAAGTCGTCTGGGTCGTCCACCAGGAAGCAGACGACTTAATTATAAGTCTACCAAGACTTCCAGTAGAACATTTGAAAGCTGATTTGTGGTCTAGTTAGGTTGGATGTTGTTCTCCTCTCATTCGTCTGGTCAGCTTTAAAATGTTATACTGGATGTCTTGGTAGACTTATAATTAAGTCGTCTGGAAAGTCTTCCAGGTGGACGACCCTAAAATGACCGTAACGTAAAATGAGAGGAAAATAACATCCAACCTAACTAAACAACAAGTCGATTGAAATCCCCAATTTTTGAAACCCTAATTTGAAACCAAAATTACCCCAAATCGTTGAAAACACAAAACCAAACGGTAAAAGTAAAGGAAAACAACATCCATCCTAATAAAAACCCATAAATCTGCAAGAGAAGCCTTCGATTTACTTTGGTCTTGTATCGGATCGAAATCGCCTCGAAATCACCTTTGAGAGAAACGGCGTTAGGGTTTTCTGAGTTTCGCGAACAAATGAGTCAAAAAAAAAAACATCTTATATATGTCCGGTAAAAAATACGATTAGGTTTAAAAGTAATTTGGTAAAATCCAGTTTGGACGACTTATTATTAAGTCGTATGTTGATACTATACATCCGACTAAGTCGTCTGCCTTATTAAATATATTTACCAGGCGACTTAATTATAATTCGTCCAGACCCTAAACCCTAAACCATAAACTAAATTAACTAAATTAACTACTAACCATGTTATAAAATCACATTATACTTAAATAGTGTTTACTATACACAGAAATAAACACACTTAGGTAAATTTTAAATTTTTCAAAAAACATTTATGCTTTCGAATTTCTAACCCTAAGAAACACATACAATACTACAACATATGTTGGTGAAACCTAAACTAAAGAATATCATCACTCACTAGTTTCACTCATCTATGCTGAAAACAACTGACTTTTTTATATCATAATTTATATCTCTTAAGACATATGTTAATTACATAATCCCAATTTTTCATTTATCAAGATATTTATTACACAATTTTTAAATTATTTTTAAGAAAAACTGTCCCAGACGACTTGCGAGGGCTAGAAACGTAAAAAAAAGACTATTTTTTTGTTTGTTCACAAGGGTTTGGTTGTAATTTCAACAGCCTTTTAAGTTACTTTTGCATTTGATTCAAGTTTGGGTTTACTTTTGCATTTCAAATCAAGTTTTGAGTCATATTTGTCAATTTTCCCTAATTTGTAACCACCGCTTTAATAACTTATATAAATAGATTTCAATCTTGATTTTAATCTAAGAATTTAATAATTTAATGCAGTGTATATTTCTATGGACCTTTTAAATTGCTATTGTTTCATAAAATATATTTTGATTAAGATTTATTGCCTACTTAACCTCTTTAATAAGATGCTATTAACCTACATTTTTATCAAAAAAATGTTTCTATCATTTGTTATATATTTTTTTATAAAATACCTACATAAATTTAGTAATAAAGTGTGAGAAATTATAACTATTATAAGTAGGTAAATACTAAGAAAATATAATATGTTACAAACTTAAGGAATAAAATTTAAAATAATTTTTGAAATGTATATGTAGCACAAATGAATAGTTATGCAACTTGAGATATTTAATATGATAACCAAAAAGTATATAACATTAAATTAATATTAAATATGCTTACAGAAAAAAAACATAAATATAAAAAAATAAATTTCGTAAAAAAAACAAAAAAATATACCTGTCCTTTGAATCTAGTTATCAAATTAATTTAAAGACAGAAAAATTGTCTCGTGCATTAGACCATCTCCAACCCATACCTATTTTTTCTTCTATAATTCCCACAAAAATAGTGTAACTCTATTTTAGAGTAATTCTTATTCTAATAGTTCACTCTAAAATAGTTTTACTTTATTATAGAGTAAAAAATAGAGGGAAAAAGTGACATTCCTCTATTTTCTACTCTATAATAGAGTAACTCTATTTTAGAGTAATTTTTATTCCAATAGTTCACTCTAAAATAGAGTTACTCTATTTTGTGGGAATTAGACCATCTCCAACCCAAACCTATTTTTTCCTCTATAATTTTCACAAAATAGGGTAACTCTACTATTGGAACAAAAATCACTCTAAAATAGAAGTACTTTATTTTTGTGGATTTAGACCATCTCCAACCAAAAGCTATTTTTTCCTCTATAATTCCCACAAAAATAGAGTAACTCTGTTTTAGAGTGATTTATGTTCCAATAATAGAGTTACTCTATTTTAGAGTAATTTTTATTCTAATAGTTTACTATAAAATAGAGTTATTCTATTTTTGTGGGAATTCTAGAAAAAAATAGTTTTTTGTGGGTATTATAGACGAAAAAATAAGTTTAGGTTGGAGATGTCGTTATAGAGGAGAAAATAAGATTAGGTTGGAGATGCCCGTAGCGGTGATAGTGTAGTGTAGAATTAAAAAAAAAAAGGTCAATGTAAGAAAGTTTTACTTCATTTGACATCGATCTTGTAGATATATAAAGTCAAATATGTCCTTGAATCTTCTGCGTTTTGATCCAATGGTTCCTCAACTAATCTGATTAAAAAGGTCTCCTCGTGTCTCAACCATCGTCGAATTGTCCGAAACCGAGACGATCATCGTGTTCTTAAACCCTAAGATCTGACCGGTAACTCTCTCCACCTCTCTCAGATTGTATAGTTATGGCTCTAAAAGAGATGGGAAGTGAAGAGGGGAAGGATCCATGGAAAGGAGAAGAATGGGGGAATGAGAATCAGACGAAGAAGAAGCCAATCTCTGGAGCTAAAATGGTGACTAGAGCCAGAAAACAGATCCCGAGGGGACTTGAGGAGAAGTACGAAGCTTACTTCCTCCCTAGGAAGCCTTGGCCTAAGGCTCTTGCCTTCTATGGAAGCTTTGTCCTTGGTGGCATCGGTGCTGGTATGCTTATCGAGGCTTGGATCAACAACAAAGTCAAAGGTTCCTCCTTTCCCCTGTTTCTTGAGTTTTGTAGTTGTTAGCTGTGAATGAGGTAGGCGATGAGCTCCTTAGGGTAAAAACTCAATACATAGATGTGGTTGTGGGTTTAGGGTTTAGCATCAAGATGTGAGATTAAAGAAGGCGTAATTGTGATAATGGCCAAGTCATCATCCTGTTGTTAGATTTAAACCGTATATTATGTAACATTGATGATTTTTTAGAGTATGGTTACTAATAATTGGGAACATGTGTGTTTGCAGAGGATGGAGGAGTGATATGGGAGTTTGACAAGTGAAGCTCTAGAAAAGATGGAAAAGTTTAAGAGAAGAATGCATTTCAATTATGAAGTAACACTTTTGAGGACTTTTGTGTACATGCATATCACTCTTTTCTTTCAATAGCTTTTTTTGTATTTTGTAGTTTTAGTTCAATTGTCAATGTAATAATGGTAGAAGTTTGATTCCACTCTTTCAACGCTCCTGCTTGCTTTTGCACCTCAAGAATATTTTGGGTCTTTGATAAATTCGTCTGAGCATCTCTTCTGCCAAACCCTTTGGTTCCTCCAATATATGCTTCTGTCGACAAAGGGTCACTTCATTAGTCAAGCATGTTCTCTTGAGATGACTCATTTACTAAGCCACTCCTTATAAGTTTTGATAAACTCTGTATGACAATAACTTTGTACGACTCCGACCAAGAACAACATCCGTTTATGCTTTATAGGTAGGTAATAGTAGATAAAATCTCATCTTCTGTTACTTTAATCTCTCACGATTACCCCTCTTGCCTGCCTTACGTCTTGTGTGCTTTTCAAATCCTTACTAGTTGCCAGAAATGGTGATATACTGCTTGGCCTTTTTAGGCTTGTTTATTCAGAGAGCCACCTTGTATCGCTTGCGAAATTATTATCATCTCTAAGTTTTAGTCTTATTAATATGCTTTGTACCTTAGCTTTGGTGAGAAACTGATGAACTAGACGGGAAGAAAACAATTGTGCGCTGTAGATTAAAAGATTCGTAAAATTTGATTGGTGAGATGATCCTGAGAAAAAGACAAACTCAAAGTTGACACAAGAATCTTGAGTTGATGTTTGTATTTCTAGATACATTTGTGCCGCATAGACGATAAAAGTTGAAGCATTAAAATCAATGATACTATTAATGAGTGTTATATATAATTTATTATTATTTAATTAAAAACAAATTTCATATTAATAATATTAAATTTATATGCTATTTTATATAATTTAGTAATATATATATATATTTTAAAAAAAGATTGTATTCTTAATAAGATAGTTTTAAATATTGTGTTGTTATTTGAAAATAATATTTTTATAATTAAAATTACAAAATTAATTTATCACCCTTATATTGTCCTTGATTGATATTTTCAACACTCTAACTTTGATCCGATAACTTTAATCCAAATAGAAATAATTGAATTAACTTCAAGAGAGAGAAGAGAGAGAAAGGTTGTCGTGTTTAGTGATTCCGGCCGACGGAGTGGGTTTTCACAGCCACCGTCGGTCCGGCTTTAGATTGTCCTTTTTTCTTATTTCACGTTTGTAGATTTTTAGCAGAAAAAGTTCGGTGTATCTCTTGTTTTGATTTCAACAGGGTGATGTTTTGATTTCGGGAGGTGGAGACTTATACAGATCCGTCGACGCCGGTTGTGATTTCTGGGAGGCGGAGGCTTCTACAGCTTCATCGACACCGGTTGTGGGTTCCGGGAGGGCGGATGCTTCTACAGCTCCGTCGTAGCCGGCTTTTGGTTCCAGGGGTAGAGGCGTTCACGGTCTTGAGTCCCCGGTTTTTGGATTCGTCAGTTGTGGTTTCGTTTTGTTGGATGAGATCTCGATTCATTTCGATGATGCTCTCCGATAAAAGAAAATAAGGTGATAAGTTTCGGTTTGAGGGTTTGTTTCTCATATCTTTGGATGAGATCTCAACCATGGTTTGGTTTGATAGATGCTCTCCAATTGAAAATGTTTAGTTGATGAAGATAAGAGAAGGTGAAGAAGAAGTGTATCAAAGCTTTTATTGGCTCCGGCGAAAGGAAGGGTTTGTTCAGTGGCGGCGGCGAGAAGATGAGGCAGATAGGAAGTATATCTGCCTTAGAGTTTTCTCAATTTTGGGCTTGTGGCCATGTTGAATTTTATTGTATTGTTTTCTTGTTATGGGCTTTGGTGATTGTGTATTTTGGGATTTGTTCCTTTATTAATCAAATTTAGATGGCAAAAAAAAAAGATTTTTTAAATATGTAATAATATTTTACCCCAATAATGATCATATATAATTTTGAAATTTTTGTTACATAAATTTTAGTTAAAAGTTAAAAAAAAATTTCTTAACTTCCGTTAAGAACCCCAACTTAAAAACTGCGAGTTAATTATGGTCTAATATGTTTTACCCCCTCGTAAAGTTTTACGAAAGATAATCACCACTTGGTCACCGCTTCTTTAATGTTTTTGCTCAGTAACAAAAACATTTAGTCAGTTAGACAAAGTGACATAAAAGCAAGCGAAGATCAGTCACAGGCTGTGTCCAAAATCATCACAAACTCCATTCTTTACAGCGAACGAGAGCGAGAAAGAAGAAGAGATGCCTCAGACAACATTCCTTGACATGTCGAGAGTTCCTTTCATTCCAGGTCTTTTTTTCTCTTCCCTTACATTGGTGCAAAAACAGAAGTTTCCATTTTTAATTATGAGTTGCTGCTTCACTCCTAAAAAGTAAATTACAAAAATAAGCCACTAACACTAAATCGTATAATTAATGTAAATCAATAAAGAAAGAAAAAATATCATACATACAACAATATCAACTAACACTAATTCTAAAATTATTTTTGAATTTTTTTTATGTATTCTAAAATTTCAACACTCTAACTTTAATTTTTTTTTTTTAAATAATTTCTACTTGGATCAATATCTCTAATAAGAATATGAGAAATGGTGTCCTTTTAAAAAAAAGACATTGTTAACAAAAATTTTTTGGAACGTTTATAAGTTTTGTGTATCCTTTTTAATATCATAAGTTTCGTTTATATTGATCAAATTTATGATAACAATATATATATACTAACATAGAATCGGTATCATCATAGACAATTTCTTTTTTTTTGCTAAACTGTAAATTATCATAAATGATCAAAAGATTTTACAAAGTAGAAATCTTAGTTCCGAACCATCTTGGCAAAAATTAGATAAAAAACAAGAAGGGACAAAAAAGAAAAACAAGAGGAAAGCTATCTTAGCCACAAAGACATGAGCTTGGTGAATGTTTTCCTTGACCTTCTAGCTGAGATGATATTTCTCAGCTGTTTGTCTATACTCTGAAAAACCGTCTCTGGTTGTACGATCGCTTGGTTGTGGACTAGGTTGTTGCGTTGCTTCCAGAGATGGTATAACACCGACTGAACCACAAGCTTCCTTAACAGAGAAAGCTTACGTGATGTGGCTGTTCGGATCCAAGAGAGAAGTTCAGACCAGGAGGTGAATAATGATCTAGGCGCTTGACATCTACTAACAACCCTCCTCCACACTTCCTTACTAAACTCACAAGAAAGCATAGTATGGTCCCTTGTTTCTTCAAATCTCGTACAAAGGGGGCAGGAGGTGGTAACTGGAATTCCCCATGAAGCCATCCTTGTTCTTGTGGGAAGGCGATCATAATTTGTAACCCACATGTGGAAAGCAAGCTTTGGTATTGCACCCTTGAACCAGACCACATCAAACCAATCCTTGGTGTCCTCTCTAAGCCTCAGCATTTCCCAAGTAGTCGATGACCTGAAACTTTTAAGAGGATAATCACCAGCATGCCATTCATAAACATCATTTAAATGTAAAGGAAGCGGTAGACTAATAGTGGTAAGATAAGCATGAAGTTCAACTTCCTTGTGCGATCTTGGGTGGGGTAGCGACCAAGATGAACCTCTTATAGCATCAGCTACGACTGCATCTTCCTTATTCTCAGAGATCTCGGTCCAGAATCACCAATATGTGTAATCAATTGGCCTAGAGGCGTCCAGACATCGAACCAGAAACTAGTTGCCATTCCGTTCCCAAGGTTGCTTCTACAGAAATTCAACGCAAGAGGCCTAAGATCAAGGAGCTTCCTCCACATCCAAGAGTCACCAACTCTAGGCTCGAGGATCCAGAAGGAGGTTTCAGCGAGGTGAGTACTCCAGTGCCAATCCACCCACAGAGAAGACGATTTGGAAAGGAGGCGCCAGATAAATTTAAGACACAGAACCTGGTTCCAAACCGTGAAACTGCGCAAACCAAATCCTCCTTCCTCTTTTGGAAGACATACTGTTTGCCAACCTATTTTTGCTACACCTCTCTTCTCAATTTCTTTGTATTATCACTTGCATGTTATTATAATACTAGTATTACACCCATACTACGCATGGGAAAACTTTTTCTTACAAATGATAAAATTTTAAATATATAACTAAAAATCTAAATTATTTAACTTTGAGTTATCAGAAGAATATACACACACACATATATATAATTTTCTAGGAGATAACAAATAGTATCTTCTAGTATATATTTTGCTATTAGAAAAATCCAAGCTATAGCTGTCTAAAGGAGATAACACGAGGAAGCAATATTCATAGCCCAAATAGATGACTGATATAAATATACATGTTTTGATAAAATATAAATATAAGTATTCACTATTATGATTACAATTTTAGTTATATATTTATGAAAAATATTAAATATTTTACGAAGTATGATAAATAGTTAGAGGTGTTTTAAATAAAAAGCAGACACAATATTAAGAAACATATGTATTAAAACTTGTAGCAACTAAATACATTATTATTATATTTTTGTAATTAAACCTATTAACCAAAAAAAACACTGTATACTAACGATTCTTATTTTTTCATTGTTCTGTTTTGTGAAAAAATAAACAAATATCAATGTTGAAATGAAATCTAAGTCAACCGATGTTGATGGTTTCATTTAAATAGTCTTACAAATGCTTTATTGTAGAGATTCACAAAATAAATCAAAAGGTGATGATGAATGATTATGATATTAGAAAAAGCAACAACTCACCGAAATGTTAGAGATAGCCGGGTGTCTAGATGCTTTTCCTTTTTCTGGTTTGATCTTCACTGAAAATTCTGTTTGCATATAAATGTTATAACAGCACGTAACTGAAAGATTGATTTTTGACTGGCGATAAAAACTCTGCAAAATGAATTAGAGTAAGAGACTGATAAAAAGTAAACATGAAAACTATTATTCCTACCTGTCAACAATGTGTCGTCAAC